ACAGCTCACTATGCTAATCCTTCACCTGCAGCGCCGGTACCTGGGGTCTTAGTCCTGGGTGGGGTGCCGGATTTTGTCCTGGTTGCTCCTCTTCCAGCCCAGCTCTCTGCAATGGCCTGGGAAAGCAGTAGAAGATGGACCAACTCCTTGAGCCCCTGCATCCACATGGGAGACCTGGAAGAAGCTCCTGGCTCCTGGCTTCAGATTGGTGCAGCTCTAGCCATTGTGGCCATCTGGGAAGTGAATCAGCGGGTGCAAGACCTCTCTGTCTCTTTTTGCCTCTCTGTAACTGAGTAAGTGCCAGGTGCAGGGCTTTTCTTCACGGCCAGCACTACTCGCCAGAGCTGGGTGGAGGTGGGCGGGAAGTGAGTTCACTTAGGTGCTGAGGCCACAGCTGTGCGTGTGCTGGGCCTGCCCCACGTGCTCCCTCTTGTGCTTGCCACACCCTTTTGCTGCAAAGGAGAAATGTGAGCAGCTTACCTACAGAGGTGCCGTGTGCACCAGGAAACGGCAGGGACTCTCTCCAGAGACCTGAATCTAAATACTGTGTGGCTAAATCCTATATCTGAACACAGAAAGAAAAATACAAAACATTTAAAAAATATATTGATTTGTTTGAAAGGTAGAATTACAGAGGCAGAGAGAGAGAGAGAGAGAGAGGTCTTCCATCCGCTGGTTCACTCCCCAGAAGGCTGCAATGGCAGGAGCTGCGCCAATCCAAAGCCAAGAGCCAGGAGCTTCTTCTGGGTCTCCCACATGGGTTCAGGGGCCCAAGGACTTGGGCCATCTTCTACTGCTTTCCCAGGCCATAGCAGAGAGCTGGATTGGAAATGGAACAGTCGGGACTCGAACTGGTGCCCATATGGGATGCCAACACTGCAGGGAGCGGCTTTACCCATTATGCCACAGTGCCAGCCCTGATAGAAAACATTTTAAGGATAGCGTCTGATGACGCCTGATATCCGGCAACAATGGACCTGGGATCCAGGGCTAGGAATCAAGGGTGAAAGCAGAAGTGACCACACTCACCTTGGCACTCCATGACTTAATCTGTGCCTCCTGTAGCCAAAACTCTGGGCTCTCCAAGGTTAGATGTCCTAGACTCCAAATTAAGGAGCCTTCCACCAAGTGCTAGAGCAAGAGCTCCATTGCAGATGTGGCCTGGGCGCTTCAGACCCCTATGACTGGGTGTCAGCAGGTCAGAAGAAAAGGCACCATCTTGGCTGGGTAACTGACCGTGCTCATCAAGGGGTGGCAGGACCATTGCTACACGGTACGGGCAAAGAGGAAGATGTTTAACACGCGAGTGATTCATTTGGACACCTTTTGGTACGCCCTTACCCAGGTACAGCGGTAAATGGACAAACGCAGCAATCCCAAGCTTTTCAGGATAAAGCATTGTGTCACCAGGAAAGTGACCTTGGCCAGCTCTCGGAGGGTGAGGTGAGCCTAGAGTTGTTAGTGGAGGTGGGAGACAGTGCTAACTGGGACCTGAGACCTGCAGCAGGTGGTGAGGACTGACTTTCCTCCCACTAATCTCCTCTTCTAAGATGAAAGAGAGGCCCACGAGAACCCAAGGGGAGCTGCTCCCCAAGCACAGAATGAAGAAGTGAACACAAATGACTCAAGGGGTGAACTGTGACGAACTTCGAGCTGCACCAGCCAGCCCTCCCTTCAAAAAAGGACTTGCTGCCCCGGCGGCTGGGAGTGCTGTGAGGATCACCTTCCACCGCCTGTCTACCAGGAACTGACTCGGTTGCAGTCACCCAGCCCAGGGTCACTACTCTCCTGGGTGTGAGTCCAGTGGGATGGGGATCCGCAGCCAGTGGGAGCCATAAAGGCCCAGACACAATCTGATACGTTGGGCAGAACGATGCTCCTCTAGAGGGCCACATCCTAATCCCAGGAGCCCATGAACATGTTACCTGGCAAGGAGAGGCTTAGGCTACAGATAGAATTCAGTCTGTTAATCAGCTAGGTTTCAGATGAAGCCACCATCCTGGATTACTGGGGAGCCCCGTATCATCGCGAGAGTCCTTCAAAGTATAAGATGGAGGCAGAAGAGGATATCAAGCCAGAGAGATTGGAAATGCTTTGAAGATGGAGGAAGGAGCAGAGAGCCAAGGACTGCAGACAGCCTCCGGCAGCTGGAAAAGGCAAGGAAACGACTCCTGGCTAAGCTGTCGGGGCAGAACAGTGCTGCTGTGCCTTGGTGCTAGCTCCCTGAGGCTCATTTCCGCTTTCTGACCCCCAGAGCTGTGCAGCCACGTGTGCTGTGGTGGTTATTACAGCAGCGCTGGGAGAGCAGCACAGGCCTGCCTGGAGCGCCCGGTGGGGTCGGACAGGGCGACTCCCAGCCTGCGTCACAGCGGGGCTTCCCTCCGTCTCCTGCTTCCCTTCACACCGGCACGCTCCCCAGACTGCTCACACTCAGGATGACTTCCTGTAATTGTAAAGTTGTGAAGTTGCTAACTGTTGGTCCCTTTCCAGTGTCACCTTGAACGTGTAATGCCTACAGGAGAATGAATACAAACAGCACTGGCCCGATATTAAGACAACAGAAAGTAAATGTGCAGAACATGGGTTTCTTAGGAGGATGTGAATTCAATTCCAGCTCCTAGGGTTACCTACTTTATTGAATTCAGCCACCCTCCATGGCCACCTCCCCCGCCCTCCCCCATAAATAGGGAGATACGCGACGTGAGAAGGAAAAGCTGGGTAAGATCCAAGAGCTTGAAGCAAGTTCTATCTCAGACAAATGCATGAAGCCTTCGCAGTGCTGGCCCCACAGTGTTTAGAATCTGGATGCACGGCTGTGGGTCCTGCCCTCATTCCAGGCTTCTCCTTTGGATTTATCATCTTTACATTCAGGCGGAGTCTCCGACAGTCTCCGGTAAGCTTTCAGCTGCAATGTCACAGGCTTCCTATCAGCTCAGAAGTGGATTCTTTTCTGGGATTCAGATCTGTCTGTTCAGCCATCTCTGAGTTATCCGAGCATGAGAATGTATCGTTTAGGAAATTTGTCAAGATCCACTTTTCGTGTCTTCAGATTTAACTTAAAGTGGTTTGAATTCAAGCCTCCAGAACCTTTGTGCACATTCTCTAAGGAGAAAAACATTTTTTGCTTTGACATGTAAACAGTTGAGGTTTACCCTGAACTTTCTGTATATATGGAGTGCGGTTACAGCGAGACTCCCTCAAATCCTGGAAATTTTCTGGGTTTCCAGACTCTCTCCATACATACCTAGAAAAATGCTTTTTTCTTTCTCTTTATAATCCCAAACTATTGTCTAGGATGACTTCAGGGAACAAAGTTCTGTCTGGATGCATTGTCTTGTCAGACAACAATGAAAGATTTATTTTATGAAAATTAAATAAATAAAAATGTAAAAATGTGAGTGTGTATAAGGGAAGAAGCCAGGAGCTTCTTCTGGGTCTCCCATGTAGGTGCAGGGGCACAAGAACTTGGGCCATCTTCCACTGCTTTCCCAGGACATCAGCAGAGAGCTGGATGAGAAGTGGAGCAGCAGGGACTTGAACCGGCGCCTTTATGGGATGCAGGCACCACAGACAGAGGTAGCTTTACCCACCTTATCTTTTTTTTTCCTTTTTAAAAGAGATTTATTTATTTATTTGAAAAGCAGAGGCAGAGAGGGAGAGAGAGAGGCAGAGGGTTCATTCCCAGATGGCCCAGGCCGGAGCTTTGCTGTTCCGAAGCCAGGAGCCAGGAGCCTCCAGATGGCCCAGGCCGGAGCTTTGCTGTTCCGAAGCCAGGAGCCAGGAGCCTCTTCGGGGTCTCCCATGTGGATGCAGGGCCCAAGGACTTGTGCCATCTTCTACTGCTTTCCCAGGCCATAGCAGAGAGCTGCATCAGAAGTGGAGCAGTCAGCCGACCCCACATTATCTTTAAATTCAGATTTTCAGTTCTCGCCCTCCTGTGAACAGGAGTATGTGTAGCACCAGTAGCAGCTCTGAGCTACTGGTGTCCGGGAGACTGACAAAGCTTTTCTGAGTTGATCATGTGTGCTGTCCCACTGTAAGGGCCCTGAAATACGGGGGGTGCCCATCCCACGAGAACTAGAGTAGCCACACGTGCAGGGGTGCGGGTGCTGAGGAGGAGGGCGGTGGCCCCTTCCCTCTGACCTGGTTTCCTGCTGCTGCATTAAAAACCTCATGGGGCCCGAGGCGCTCTGGCCTGGTGGTAAAGCCCCACCTATGACAGCCGCCATCCTCTGTGGTTGCTGGTTCGAATCCCGGCTGCTCCGCGTCTGCTCCAGCTCCCTGCTGATGCTCCGGGGGGGGCGGGGATCAGCCGATGGCCCTGGCGTTTGCGCCCCTGCCACCCACGCGGGAGACCCGGAGCTCCCGGCTCAGGCCAGGGGGCGAGGGGCCCCTGAGGCCATCTGGGGGAGTGGACCAGCAGATGAAGGTCTCTAACTCTTTCAAGATAAATAAATAAATCTAAATGAACAAAACAAACGAAACCAGCCCAGAACCACCATCCTTGCAGCGGCTTGGTGGCTGAGGGCCGGCCGGCTCAAACGCCAGGGGCCAGGGGCTGGCTTCTCGCTCGCTCCGCCAGAGCGCACGCCTTCCAGAGCCTGGCGGTCAGCCGGCCGCAGGGATGAGTCGGCGGCCCCGCGCCAGCCTGCTCTGCCCGGGACGCTGCAGCGCGCGCGTTCGCCTCAGTTTTCTCTCCTGCAGGTTGGGGGCAACAGGCGCTGACCGCTGCCGGGCACCGGGTGGGCGCCGGCAATCTGCCCAACCCCGCTGGGCGCGCGCCCCTAGCACCTGCGGGACGGCACTGCGGTCGCGGACCCGGGGCGGGGGCCAGGAGCATCCTGCCCGGGACTCCGAGGAAGCCAGACCGTGGCCGAGAGGGTCGCGGGTGCGGGCATTCGCGGAGAGGGGCCGGCCGCCCCGCGTCCAGGGAGACGCGCGCGGGCCCGGAGTGGGCGCCCGTGCCAGGCGCGGCGCCGCACCGACCCCGCGAGGCCGGGGCCGCCGGGGCCGGACCCCCGGAGAGGCGGAGCCCCCGGCGGCGGCGCGGCCACTGGGCATGCTCGGCCCGCAGGTTGGCGGCCGCCGCGCGGGGCCGCGCATGATGGCGGCGGCGGCGGGGAGCGCGGGCAGCGGCGGCGGCAGCGGCGGCGGCAGCGACACGTCCAGCACCGGCGAGGAGGAGCGCGTGCGGCTCCTCTTCCAGACGTGCGACGGCGATGGCGACGGCTACATCAGCAGGTAGGGGCAGGGGCCGCCCCCCGCCCGTGCGCCCCAACTTCGCGCAAGTTGCCCCAGAGCGCGGGGCGGGACCGCGTCCGGCCGGGGGCTGCTCGGTGCGCTCGCGGCTGCAGGTTTCCCCAGCGTTGGCTTTGTTTCGGGGGACGTCCCGGGGCGCGCCCGCCTGCGCGGCGGGCGACGGCGTCGGTGGGAACTTCGCTGGGGCGGGCGTGCGGGTGCCGGGAGCCCCAGGCGGCCGCTCCGGGTGGAGGGCGACGCCGAGACCCCCGGCTCCGCTCGCCCCCCGCCACTTCCTCCTGCCCGAGTGCGCGTCCCTGTCCGGCGCACCGGCTCCTAGGAGACCCCGGCCGCATTGGTCTGCTGGGGTGGGCGAGGCCGCCCGAGCCCGGTGCAGCAGGTGCCCCTGAGGCGCCCGTGATCTCTGCCCCCAGTCGGGGGCTGCCTCCTGGTCTCCTGGTGATCCCCCGAACAGTTCTGAAGACTGGAAAAAAAGTTTCCTGGGGACCCTTCTTAGCTGCATTTGGTTATCTTTCGAAATTTCCTTGAGAAACACGAGGGAGACATTAAAAAATTATGGAATAATTCTGCTCTGAAATGAAAATAGTGTGTAATTCTGATTGGTCCCACGCGGATTTTTATCTGGACGTCTTTTCCTATTTTGATTCTGGGATTTAAAAAAAAAAAATCCCTTGTGTGGTTTACTTCGTTGTTTGCCTAGGTAAAGGCTGTGATCTCATTTAGTCCACAGCCAAGTTTAGTTTTTCAGGGGCAGGAGTGGGTAAGGAACACTCCCGGCTGCCTGTCCGCTTGCTCCTCTGCGGGGGCTGTGTCATTGCAGCCGCACTTTCTGTGTGGATACAGCATTCTCCGTGATGGCTGCCCTGTCCTGTGTGGTTCCAGTGTCTGGAGGTGAGACGTGGTAAGAAGGTGCATGTGTGTGAAGAAGGGCTTCTGGGGAGCCGTGCGCAGTCATGGACCCGAAGCTGAGCTTGGGTGGTGGTGGTAGCCCTGGCAGTCTGAATGGCAGAACTCCCGCGTAGGAGAGTGGGGGACAGCCTTACTGAGCGGGAGCCTGCCTGGAGGGGTGTTTGTGTGGCAAGGACAGTTTTGCCCGGAGTCCAGATTTTCTTGGCAGAGCTTGGCGGCTGGGGTTAATGAAGGTAACAGGTGCTGCCTCTTCTGGTTCATCTTTCCTTACCATTCTGGAGTGGCCAGTAGGCTTGCCGTGGAAGGTGACTTTTGTCTGAAACATGAAACATGGACTTCCTGCATTTAACCTTAACATTTCCTCTAAATCCTTTGAAAGATGTTAAGTTTAAGCTCACTGTAGCAGCTGTGTCCGTTAGGGCTTCGGTTTGCTGTGCATCACAGAAGCTAACCACAGGCGAGTAAGATTGGCTTTGTCGGCTGGCAGGAGTCTGGCGTGGGCTGAGCAGGCTGGGCACAGCTCCACGGTGGTGTCAGTGTCCAGCTTCCTCCCTTCTCTCCCCCATCACTGCTCACATACAGCACGTGCAGGTTCCGTGGTTGTCTCACAGTCCAAAGACTGCTCAGCTCCAGCCTCATCTTCCAGTTCTAGGGGAGCAGACGTAGAGGGAAGCGGAAATGAGTTGAACCTGCTCGTGAGAGCAGAGCCTTCGGATCCCTCGATTGACGTTGTAGTGGTCAGCCACATCATGTGTCCACCCCTACCTGCAGTGGAGTTGCAGCAAGTGTGTAATTCAGACGAGGCATGTTGGCTCCTTAGCAAAGACTGAGTTCTGGAACTGACAGCAGGACACAGATACTGGTGAGCAAGTAGCAATCAGTACCTCAATAAAACCCACATTTACCTGGGTTGCGTCTTGTCCTCAGCCTAGCCTCCATTCTAAACAGGAAAGGGCTCACAATCTCAGGTTTGGAAGGCAGACCGGAGGGAAACGTGGGGAGGGGCAGGCTCTGTGTCTTCAGTACTCTCTTGGCCTAGGCTTCCCTGCCAGACAAAAAAGGCGTGGACTAACTGGAGATTCTTGGCGTCGCTGCTTCTGCCAGAGAATCCCAGGCTGTGAAGGGAGCCAGGATCATCCCCACCAGTAGCTGAGGTGCGGCAGAAAATGCCCCTGGGATGGCGCACAGTGCCGGGGACAGCAACAGGCTGTCCTGGGGCATCTCACCAACCCTACAATGACTTCACCCCATATTTTATGGTCTTGAATTTTTTTTTAGACCCTGCATATCATGTTTTAGAAGGTGATGGAGATTGCTCTGCTTGTTGAAATTATTTGCCCTTTGAACTTCTAAAGCTTTCGATTTTTAACCTTCTGTGTAGGAAACTGCTTATCTTGAGTAGGTGTTTGACAGACATCTAAAACCACCACTGAGGTTCCTACCTGGTCCCCAGGTCTCAGCTCAAACATGATTGATGCTTTCAAGGGCACTTCCTGACCACTACACCAAGGGGTTCTTCCTGTGCCACCGTCCTCCTCCATGGCAACACCTGTTGCTCGCTTTCAAGGACACTTGGCACGACTGTCAGTTGCATTTCTGTGTGCTCCTCTGCCTGTGTGTTGTCACTCTCACATCAGATGGAGGCTTTATGAGGGTGCAATCATGTCTATTGTGTTAAACTAGTTCACACATTACCAGCATAGTGTCTGCTATATAGGTCACAGTCAGTACACTTTGATGAATAAATGTCCAAGAATAAAGAATGGTATATTCACGTATATTGAAAAATCTTCCAAGCATTTCTGTTTCTTTTTTTTTTTTTTTTGAAGATTTATTTATTCATTTGAGAGGCAGAGTTAGAGAGAGGCAGAGGCAGAGGCAGAGAGAGAGAGAGGTCTACCATCTGCTGGTTCACTCCCCAGATGGCCACATTGGATCCGAAGCCAGGAGCCAGGAGCTTCTTCTGGGTTTCCCACACAGGTACAGGGGCTCAAGGATTTGGGCCATCTTCCACTGCTTTCCCAGGCCATAACAGAGAGCTGGTTTGGAAGTGGAGCAGCCAGGACTCAAACGGGCACCCATATGGGATTCCGACACTGCAGGCGGTGGCTTAACCCACTGTGTCACAGCACCGGCCCCCAAGTATTTCTGTTTCCAGATGTGTGCCACATTGGGGCTGGTGCTGGAGTGTAGTAGATAAAGCTGCCCACTGCTGTGCCAGCATCCCATATTGGCACCAGTTGGAATCCCAGCTGCTCCACTTCAGATCTACCTCTCTGCTATGGCCTGGGAAAACAGTAGAAAGTGGCCCAAGTCCTTGGGCCCTGCACCCACATGGGAGTCCACAAGAAGTTCCTGGCTCCTGGCTTTGGATGTGCCCAGCTCCAGCCATTGTGGCTGCTTGGGAAGTGAACCAGCGGATGGAAGCCTTCTCTCTCTGTCTCTCTCTGCCTCTGCCTCTCTGTAACTCTGCCTTTCAGATAAATAAGTCAATCTTCAAAACAATGTGTGCCACATTTATGAAATACTTTTTAGGTGTACATATATTTTATTATATAATATTTTCCTTTAAAAATGATTTATTTTGGCATATATAAAGAATATGAAGTCAAAGTTTTGGAAAGTATAGAAATGTATAAAAATAAAATCAAGGCCAGCGCCGTGGCTCACTAGGCTAATCCTCCGCCTTGTGGCTCCGGCACACCGGGTTCTAGTCCTGGTCGGGCGCCGGATTCTGTCCCGGTTGCCCCTCTTCCAGGCCAGCTCTCTGCTGTGGCCAGGGAGTGCAGTGGAGGATGGCCCAAGTACTTGGGCCCTGCACCCCATGGGAGACCAGGAAAAGCACCTGGCTCCTGGCTCCTGCCATCGGATCAGCGTGGTGCGCCAGCTGCAGCGCGCCAGCCATGGCGGCCATTGGAGGGTGAACCAACAGCAAAGGAAGACCTTTCTCTCTGTCTCTCTCTCTCACTGTCCACTCTGCCTGTCAAAAAAAAAAAAAAAAATCAAAATCATCCATAATCCCGTAACCAAGTGGTATCATTTCTGTTTTCCTAGTGACTTAGCTGCATCGTTATCATCCCCTCATGCATTACAAATGGAAGAACATTCAGTGTTCACAGAAGGAAAGCCTGACGTTGTTTAGAAGTCAGTTCCCCCCACATTGAACTGTAGTTCAGTGCAGTCCTGCTCACAGAGTCCTAGCTGCTGTTTTTTGAAAAGGTTGATCAGCTGATCCTCAAATTTATATGGAACCTCACGGGACCCAGAACAGTCAAAACGAACAGAGTTGGAGGATCCTCATTTCCAATTTCAAACATGCTCGGACAACAGCAGTCGAGACAGAAATACTGGTTGAGGACAGACATACACATCAGGGGACTGGAAGTGGGAGTCCAGAAATAAACCCATATGGACACCAGCTGATTTTTTGTTGAAAGACCTCTCTATATGACTACTACAGAATGTTATCTTTTTTTTTTTTTGGACAGGCAGAGTTAGGGGGGGGGGGAGAGAGAGAGAGAGAGAGAGAGAGAGAGAAAGGTCTTCATTCTGTTGGTTCATCCCCCAGATGGCTGCTATGGTTGGCGCGCTGCGCTGGTCCGAAACCAGGAGCTTCTTCCTGGTCTCTCATGCGGGTGCAGGGCCCAAGCACTTGGGCCATCCTCCACTGCCTTCCCGGGCCACAGCAGAGAGCTGGACTGGAAGAGGAGCAACCGGGACAGAATCCGGCGCCCTGACCGGGACTAGAACCTGGGGTGCTGGCGCTGCAGGTGGAGGATTAGCCTAGTGAGCCGTGGCGCCGGCCTGTATCATGTTTTTTAAAGATGTATTTTATTTATTTGAAAGAGTTACGGGGGGACGGTGGTAGAGATCTTCCACCTGCTGGTTCACTCCCCAAATGGCCATACTGCTCAGGGCTGGGCCAGGCTTTAGCCGGGAGCCAAGAGCTTCTTCCAGGTCTCCCATGAGGGTGCAGGGCCCAAGAACTTGGGTCATCCTCCGCTGCTTTTCCAGGCCATCAGCAGGGACCTGGATCAGAAGTAGAGCAGCCAGGACTTGAACCCATGCCCATA